ATGGAACCCTATAATTCTAATGTGACAACTTGTACTTCTATTAGTTAAGGTCAAGATTTTTCAATCTTTTTTTATAATCAAAATTTTTAAGCGATTGAGAGACTCGAATTGAGAAACTCGAATCGTGGTCATATGTTTAACATGCTCAATGCATTAAATGTCTTTTTTTGAGTTAGCACTACATGCAGGAACATCGTACTTTAAAAAGGTCTAACATAGGTTATGTATAAATTTTTCAAAACGTTTATTACTCAGGAAATAGCTTTTCATCCATCCCAGTATACTGTCGGTTTTCCAAGCACATTTTGTTGCATGCGTTTTCCAATTGAGATTAAAAGTGATTGTCACGCCAAGATCGCATTCAGAGTCTGTTGAGATTAAGGCATGAAACGTTTTTGCAAGGAAAGTATTGTAACTATATTTAGGGTTACCGTAGCCATAATTCATAACTTTACATTTATCAGCATTCAGTTTCATGAGCCAAATTTCTGTCCAAGTTACAACTGCATTTATTTATTTTTGGAATTTTTGGAAATCTTCTTCATTTAATATTCTGGTTATTAATTTACTTTCATCAGCATAAAGCTTACAGGAATAGTACTTTAAGATGTTTGGAATATCGTTTATATAGATTGTAAATAACAGTGGTCCAGCACACTTCATTTTGGTGCGCCACTAGTTACATTGGCTCAATTTGAAATACTATCTCCAAGCACAACACGTTTTTTGATGTTTACTAGATAGTTTTATATCCAATTTAATAATTTTCCCATTATGCCATATGCTTTTAGTTTTTGTGAAAGTCTTAGATGTGGCACTTTGTTGAATGCTCTGGCAAAATCTAAAAACACTACATCAACCCACTTAATTTTTGAGAGTATGCTGTGACTTCATTTACTGTTTCCGATAAATTAGTAACACAACCTTTATTGGTAACAAATCCGGTTGTACTCTTTGAAGAATATATTATAGCGATCATTAGTTTTTTTGTTGATAAATAGATGATCCCAGCCGACTTTGCTTAGCTCAAATCTTAGATTTGGAAAGCTACCCTTTCTAAAATTATAACTTAATCTTTTTAATGTCTTTTTATGAACATTGGCTGTAAAAAGGTTCCGGAAAGTTGATACATGAAATTGTTCAGTGTTAGCGGTAAATTTTACTCTACGTCAAAATCTCTATTCATAGACTCTGATAGAATTAAATCAAGGTAGTTACAACAATTACCACTTTTATTAACAAATGTTGGAAAGATGACTGATTGGTGAACGAAGTTTTTACTTAACGTACTGATGAACTCATAATCTGGTGCAGCTGATCCACTGGAGCAAAAAGGAGCGTTATCCAAGTATCATACAGTTTTGTTGTAATTAAAGTCCCCAACAATAAACAAACCCGAAAACACCCTTTTTTTAATTAAGTTTGAGGCTGCAGCAATAGAGTGTTTTAAAGCAATTTCACGTAACTATATGTCATATTGCGTATCACTTGGTTTGGGTAAAGGCCTATAAATGCAACCAAATAAAATCGTTTCTTTAATAAATCTGATTCCGCACCAAACTTGCTATAACTATTTACTACATAATTCAATGCTGGTAATCTCAAAAAAATGGATTTCTTCTTAAACATATATTGCCAATCTCCCGCCATGACTGGGTCTATTTTTATTGAACAGTTTGTAATTTATTAGGTGAGTGCATTTAAATTTGTCAAAACACGCTTTGGTAATAGCAAATATGTTTGGCTTTAGTGAGTTTGTGAAAGCATTTAACTGCGTCATCTTGTTAATAAGTGATGTGGCGTTACTGTAATAATATGTAATATTGTCGGTTGAAAGACACTGGCTAGTTTTGACCGTGGTTTATTTATAAATATGCTTGGATCCTTTCACTGACGAATGATGATGAACGAACCGAAAAGGCATGTACAAATTTCCATGTTTTTCCAGATTTTTATTTGCGGTTTTCTTTTCGCTAATCAGCTTGTTATATTCTACTTGTTCTGCTCCAGTTCTGCTCATTCAGATCACAAGAACATTTTCATTCTGCTCCAGAATGAAAATGTTCTTGTGATCTGTTCGGGCGGGATTTACTGCAGCGGCTAATATAAAGCTTCTTGTTTCTACATTGTCAAACTGCACTACTACTGGAGTTTGATTATTTAGTGAAGTTGAATCTTTTCTTAATTTTATTTTTTTGTTTTATTATATGAGTATTTGTAATTTTAGCATTAATGTTTAACCCACATAATATTTCTTTTACTTTTACAATGGATTCTCCAGTTGTCTAGTTTTTGGTTTCTGGAAGAAACAACCCTACAAACACAATTTTTTTGGCTTTGTTTTCTGTTGCACTAGCATTTGCAGATATTGCACTAATAATACCTGTATTCGCTTGTAACCCAGGTTTGGCTAAGACTGCTGCAAAATCACAATACTTTGTACTCTTATCATTAATAAAATCATTTTTACACACTCAGTATTTCAACTTTCATCTTAAATTATGATTAATGCATTTTTATCAACAAGAACTTGCTCTAAATTATCAATCTTTCCATAAGTATACTTTTAACTTCCTATATAGCTATTGTAATTAGTTCTTTTACCTTCTTTTCCTAGTTTGATCCAAGCGCCACTTGAACTTGATAGGAGGGCTACCACCCTAATCAGTGGATTACCTCCTGGTTGTGAGTTGTACAATCTATTATTAGTTACCTTCGCAAGCGAGTGTGACTGAGATATAAAGTTTGCAATTAACGTCATTGTGAATGTCATAAAAAACATAAAAAACAATATTAAAACAATAAATTGAGTCTTGCATCAAAACAAAAGGGTTCTAATTAGGAAATTGTATAATTATTCATGTCAAATTAAACAAGACGTAACTTGTTTCGATGCCTAAAATTTTTGTTAAGTTACATTTTATATTAACTATTATTTATCAGATATAATTTCACTTTTCTTATTTAACTGATTTTTATTTTTGTAGAAAAATATATAATATTTTTCATTTATGAATAGTCTACAGGGTTTTGTGGTAGGGTTTAAAGCATTGTTATGCTTAATTATTTTTCATCTTTTTCAAAAATTTGCATTTTTTTCTATCCAAAATCCTTTTGATTGTTCAGTATCATTTTTGTAATTAGGCATACTAAATTATTTTATATGATTGGCATATCTAATTTGAAATGGTGTTTCACTAATACCTATGTAGAATTTATTGACAGGAGTATCAGTATGATCATTGGAACTTATATTAACTTGAATAATAATGTTTATTGTTGAGCAATTGGTTTGATAAAGGGCAGGTATTCTTATTAATGCAGTCGCCATTGGTTTTAGGTGAGTTTTTGTTGTTGTTTATAATATTTTGGTTGTAGTCATTTAAAATAGAGTTCATTACCAGGATACAGAATAAGTTATTTTTATCGTGTTTCTTTTGTGAAGTTTTTAATTTATTGGAAGTGTTTATTAATCAAGGTTAAAAAAGTTTTTCTTACATTAGTGCTAACATTTTTGCAGAAAAGAAAAATTAACCAAATAATGTTGCGTTTATAGTTCTTGGTTAAATTAAATTTTAGGCAATATATATTATAAGCAATATAAATAAAACCAGACCTTTAACAGTACGTAATTGTACATAAGAGGGTGCTTTCAATCAGCGTCACATATATATATATATATATATATATATATATATATATATATATATATATATATATATATATATATATATATATATATATATATATATATATATATATATATATTTATATATATATATATATATATATATATATATATATATATATATATATATATATATATATATATATATATATATATATATTCATATATATATATATATATATATATATATATATATATATATATATATATTTGGTTTAGTAATTCTGACAACTCATACAAGGGTTAAAGTAGAGACGTACGGTTTAAAGTAGAGACGGCCTCATTTCCAAATTAGTCTATCTTTAACTTAAAATTTTGCAAAATCGCTTGCGGTCAGCATTTTCTTTGAATCAAGTATTCGGTTTACACTGGAGGAACCTGATAGAGAAAAATGTGAAATATAAAGTATTTTTTTATTTAATGTTTTACTAATTTTGCAATTATTAGAACTGCTAAAACTATTATTCACATGTGTCTGATCATTGTTTCCTCTTTTCTATTTAGATAATTGATCATGTTTTCTCTTTTTATTTAAATGCTGTATATTATTTGCCTTTATTCTCCACATATTAATGCCATACATTGTGAGAGTTGTGGCTTGTATAGTTCAAAACTTTCTCTTGATTTTTAATCATGCAGCTCTTACAATTTGAAATTAATTCAATTTTCTGAACTTTTCCTAAATTCAATTAAATCTTGCACTTGATAACTTTATTTTACCACCAAAGAAACAAAAAAAATTACAAAAAGACACTTTTTTTTTTTTAATAATAGTTATTTAACTTTCTTTTTTTCGTTCTTCACTCTGTTTACTGAGTTTCATTTTTGAAAATCAAAACACAAAAATACATCTTTTATACTACATCTTACACTTTAACTAAGTATTGCATGCAAACTCTACAAATAATAGACTTTGTTTCAACATTTTTTCTACACCTTTTACATGGCCACACATACTTCACTCCGTGGCTGCGGCTGCTGTGTAGTATTTTTTTTTTGCTATTTTTGAATTTAGAATATATAACTTTTGTTCTGAGTCTTCTGAATCTTAAATTCTTTTTACTTCCATTTTATCTGTCAGGTTTCCGTTTCATTAAGTGTGAATGCTTCCTAATAATTCTTAAACACATAAAACTGCAACAACAAAAAAAAAAAAAAACGATAAACAATCTTTACTGATATATTACTGCCCTGTTGATTAAAAACATTAAATACTCTTTTTGTTAGTTTGTTATTAATTTATGCAGTTTTCATTAAATAATTCTTTTTTAATTTAATTACATAATACTTTTTTTACATATACTTTTTTTAGCAACCAATGCAAATTGCGCTGAAGGTTGGAAAGGTTATGCAAACTATTGCTACTTTATTTACATTAGAGATGGTTCTAATGAAGTTGATTGGTTTACCTCTTTCTCATCTTGCCAGAATATTGGAGGGAATCTGCTAAGTATTGAAAATCAAGAGGAAAATCAATTTATTCAAAATAAGTTAATCAAAGTTAATGGTAGTTATTGGATAGGTATGATTCTTATATTACACATACATACCGAGTTGAAAGTTTCTAAACATTATTCAAAATAATTCATTTTTAAATAGGCCTCAATAAAGTACTGAATTTTTACATTAAACCAAACAAAAGATTTGAATGGTCTGATAATTCATACACCCAGTTCTTCAATTGGAATAAAAATCAACCAGACAATATTGATGATGTTGAAAGTTGTGTAGAAATGAATTACAACGGTTGGAGTGATAATGAATGTAAAGTTCTAAATGGGTTTATTTGTAAAACTAAAAAAGGTTTTATTGTTATTTATCCAATTTAAAATAATTTTTATTTTTCAGATTTGATATTATTTACAGATAATCTCTGTCTTCTTTTCTATATTTAATATTACTAATACTATTTAGTTTATATACGATATTATTTATATTATTTTTGCGAGAATTATTTTAATTATTGTTAATAATTGTTTATTCTTATTATTATTATTTGTTTAATTTAATACATTTTCAAGTCAACCAACACTTTTTTTATTTCAGAATGTTTGGGTTTTAATGTTTATTTATGCCATGTGTTAACTTTAACTTTCACTGATTTATGTGAAAATACTTAATGTGTATATTTTTCAAAAACCTTTAAATTTTTTTAAGAAATCTTTAATAATTTATATATTTCGTCGACAAGTTTGTTGCAAAGCTTGTATTAAGTTAATCTGTTTGTCAAGTTTAGTTGTTGTGTTGATTGTCAGTAAAGTTTTAGTTTTCCTCTATTATTCAACTCATATTTATATTAGTTATATTATTTCATTAATTATGCAATTTGTTTAATTCAAAATTCAATCTTTTGTTCGTCTTCATGTTTTGTTAGACTTTTTTTTGAATTTTTGGATTAAACAAATTATGTTAATATGTCTGCAAGGTATCAGTTTTGACTTTAAATACTACATAGTTTGTGGACCTTATGTAAATGTTGCAAGTCATGTTTTAATGCATTACTTGTATTGACTTTATTGATATTAAATGTTGATGTTAATTGTATCTGGTTGATGTCTCGCAGAAAATCTCCTAGACAGACGTAAATGATTACCTGAATTTTTTTGTGGAAAAACCTTTTATCTTTATTTAATGGGCTAGAAAAAATGTAAACTTTGTTTTTGCCTAGTATAATGAATGCAAAATATTTTTGACTTACACATTGGTTTTTATTAAAGCCTTTTTGGTAGTTGCTATGCAACTCTTTATGTCATTTTCTAATGAAGCTATTTCTCTAAGATATATTTTATTTGTCTGAGCCTGGCCTACCAGTAAGATTTTTCAAGGTCTTTGGTATATATAAGATAGTCTTTAACTATCAAAACTTTCAGTTGACTTTAGTAGCCATCAGCTACCTTTGATTGAGTCAAAGTATTTAGTGATTTAAAATAATTATAGCACCTGAAAACATTTAACTTAAAAACTATCATTTCCACTAAGTTCTTTTAATCCTTTTTTGTAAAAAAATATTGTTTCTTTAAAGTAATTTTTTATATGTTGAATCTGTTGAACTTGTTGAATCTTTTAAATACATCAAGCTTTCTTTTAAATTCATCAGACTTTCTTTTAAATTCATTAGACTTAACTCTAAAGTCTAAATTCTAGGACCACACCACCCTACCATTACTACTGTCTGCCAATAAGTTTTTATTATATTGTTACTCAATACACTTAAAAGCACAGTTTATTAATTTTTATATTTAACTTTATAAATGTTTTAACCAATTCTTTGTTCAAACATTTAAATATATCAGAAAAATGGGAAAAGTTAAAGCTAAAAAAGGAGCTGTAAAGCGAATCAATTACAACCCGAGAAGACCTGTATATCTTCTTGTAACTCCACCAAGCTTTCTATCTAGCAGGCAATTGGCTATGAATAGTCGTGTTTTTAGATATTTTCTGTATTTTGTTTCCCCCAGGGTTAAAAGATTCAGACCAATCAAGACTAACTTTGCTTGTGAATAAAAGACATCTTCTGGAGATATGAAGTGCAATGGAACTAATGGACCTTGCGCTTGCTGTGACTGGAGAATACTGTTTGCTCCGGAGTATTGTAAATACTTGGGCCTCTTGTGGTTTCCAGAATTATGTTCTTTCACAAGAAAGCATACTAAACAAATTCCAAGAAATTTACAAGAAATTTAAAGCTGTTTGTAATGAAAAAACACCTTAAATGAAATCAAATGCATCTCAAAAGCATCAAGAAAAGTTCCTGATAATGACAGATAACCTGTTTGACATCAGTTCTCAACAGTTTAAGTGCACTATGCGTCAGGATACTTCTATTCGAAGCGACAGTGCTACAATAAAAGAAGACCTAGACTGTCTTTAAAATCAAAGTCAAGTCAGAAAAATGTTTATTAAAGCTTGCATTGATAAAGAGTTTGATGCTAGGGTAATATAACATTTCATGAAACTAAAACTGATTTGTCATTTTTTATATATTAATTTCAAAAATTTGAATTTATTTAGATCTAGAGAAGAATTAATAGATACACTAGACACAAAGAGCTATGAAAGAGATCCCTTTAAATTGGAGCATCAAAGCTATCCTCAAAGAGCAAACTGTGGAGCCATGTAAACAAATGTATAAAGATTTAAAGCACGCTTAGATGAATAGTTATTCCCTATTGTTAGTAAAGCAGGAGCTGAGAGAAAGTTTGAAAAGTTTTCCAAAAATAATCTGGTTGTTGGAAGGGATGTTCACAGTTTATATCTCAAGTCAAAGAAATTCATTGCTTATTTGCTTGAGTATAATGCTTTTCTAGAAATGAATATAATCACTAGGTAAAATACTTTGCATTCTTTATATGAATATCAGTTAACCCAAGCTTGAAGACTTTAGTTTCTACAAACCAGGTGCTAACCATAATGCCAGATTTATGTGTGATAGCATCTACTTAGAGCTTGATAAGCTACAGGGCGGCCATTTTAATTAAGAACTGCAGCTACAGCTATGTTTTTATTTCAAATGGAACATTTTTGTCCACATAATCTGTCACAGCATTTGCAATGTCTTGTTTAAGTTGATTGAAATCATATACACACTGATGATCTAATGGGTACTTGGCGTTTTTGATAAGAGAAGCTATCTTATCGGAAAAGTTTGGAATCCATTTAGAGTAGTATGAGAATAGTCCAATAATACGCTTCATTGATTTAGCATCATGAGGAGGAGGCATTTCTTTCATAGGTTGAAGCCGACTGAAGTATATCATGTATTATATATTCATATAATACATGATATACTTCATAGCGAGAGAAAATATATATATATATATATATATATATATATATATATATATATATATATATATATATATATATATATATATATATATATATATATGTATATATATATATATGTATATATATATATATATATATATATTTATTTATATATATATATATATATATATATATATATACATATATATATATACATATATATATATACATATATATATATATATATATACATATATATGTATATATATATATATATATATATATATATATATATATATATATATATATATATATATATATATATATATATATATTAGGGTGTTCCAAAAAAATGACTTTTTTGAATTTCAACTAACATTGCTTTTCATAAGGTGCCCCAACCTTGATATTACTAATAAATTTTTTTTTTTTCATCATTAGATCACTCCATGACTTCCCTCAATGAGCCCAAAGGTCATTTTTTGCCCGTTTTTTGCCCATATTTCGGACTAGCTGAGGGGAGTGTTACCATTATCCAAATTAATTTTTCTTTCTTTTTTTTTGTTGTTTTATATTTTTGAAGGAAGTAAAAATATAAAATTAAGCTTAATTTTTTTTTTTTTTTTACTTAAACAATGAAGACCAAAAAATTAAAAAAAAGGCATTTTTAGGCTTTTTTGCACTATATTAGTGTTCTGCTTATTAACAAGATACTTTACGTATTAAAATATTTATATTTACATAATAAAATCATATTTATGATTAGTTTCTGAAGAAATCAGTTGTCAAACATAGTTCATGTTTATAAATTTATTTTGTAAACAAAGAATTCTTTACATAATCACATTTTTTTAAATTGTTCTTTCACTCTTATATTTGTTTGATACGAGGAAGGTACTTTGTCTTTTATCCTCATTATGCGATTTATTGATCAACTCCTATTAAAGAATATTTAAAAGTAATGAGCTTGTAAAATAAATTAAGATTTTAACATAAACATTAAGTACCAAACATATAAAATAGTTACCTGAACTAGTTTTATAGCCCTCTCACTACAGTCATTTACTACTTCAAGATTATTCACAAATTGTTTGAATTCTAAGTAATAGTCATTTAGATCCCATGTCTCAGATGGAGTCTTAAGCCACTGTACTTCAGCATTTGCATGGTTTAAGATATGAAAAATTAACCAACTCTGGTCAGTTATAAGCGGGGTCAAACTTGGGGGAGTATCATCATTAAACATAAGGGAGTTCAGTATATTTAAATTAACTTGATGTCTTTCTATGGCATAAGTTGTAGGTCTTGGGGTTGAGTACAACTTCTTGGAAATGTCACTCCGTTCTTGTACATTTTTGTCAACAAGAGACATAACTAAAATATTTGGGTCTATGTACCAGGTGTGTCTCTTTAGAGACTCTATAACAGGTTTTGCCTGGACAGGATTGATTTTTGAGTATCTCATCATCTGCCAAAGAGCTTTCATATCCTAAAGATTTTTAGACTATGAAATATTATACAAAATTTTCAAAGAAAAAAAGTAATAAAAAGCAAAATGTTTAAAAACTTTTAAAACATAGAAATGTCACCTGATATGGAGCGACAGCCGGAATTTCAGCCTTTATAAACCACTCAGTGTAAAATACAGCTGTGAAGAATGCCATATCATTTATTTATTTCTTCTCAAAATCTGTCAAGCTAGAAATGTTGTTTAGAAGGAGATACATTTTCAGAAAGTATATTCCATTTGCCATAAATCTGGCATGGTGTACAGGCCCAGGTTTTCTTAGCATGTACTGTTCATCACCAGATAAAACCATTGTTGTCAATTCCACTAACTCTAGATAATCAGACCTACATCCATCCTAAATAAGATTATTTATTTAGACACAAAACAGTACCTTACTAAACTTATTTTATTATAGAGTATTCACTTTATTCAAAATTTTAAATACCTTTTTCATTGTTTTCATTCTGATAATATTTTGAGAAAAAGATAAGGCTTCTTTGAACTGTACCTGCAGCCAGCTATCAGAAATATCTTCAATTTTTACTTTGTTTAACACAATGGAATTTTGATCAATTGAGTTCCATACATCTTTTAGCTTCTTAAACAATGGATTATCTGGACCATTTATTTTACTGCTTGGATAAATGTTCCAGCAGTGAATAATATGCCTTTCATAGATGTGATGCCTACATGCTAGGAGAAGTAGTGGTCTATCAAGCTCTGCAGCTAATCTAATGCACACACCCTTTTTATTACCAGTATTTACAGAAGTTGTATCAAAAACGCATCCTTGAAATTTATCAAAAATATCAAATTGATGAAGAAGTTAAATGATTGTATTCGTCTGTGTTTCTCCAGTACTAGAGCTCAAATGAGGAACCCCAAGAAGCTCACTCTGTCCATCTATCCTGATGGAAACAGCAAGTCTGTCAAGTTGATGTTCTATTCCGCTTGTGAACTCCTTAACTATTTTTCCATCAAAATGGAGAATAATTGGTAATGATGAAGATTTAACAAGATCAGTAACGTGCTTTTTAATCTTTTCTCCCTCTTTAGTTACAACTTCTTCTGCAACTCTAAATGCGGTTGAAGAAGATATTGTAAAATTAGTAACATCACCTCCTGAATTAGCAATAACACTTGCCACTATTGCAGTGTGTTGTCTAACTGAAAGTCCTTCACCTATTGCTGTGAGAGCTGTGTTTTTTTAAATATTTTTTGGTAACAAAACAACAGAGGTAGATTGTTCTTTTTTTATATCTGCTACATATTCACAGTCAGAATTATTACCACTACTTGAAGAGTTTTCTAAACTGTATAGATTGTTACCATTATTTACTTTAATCCTCATTGTGTTTAACATGAAACACAATTTTTTGTCTCTTAATAGTGTACGTAAACCTTTTATCATTTGTTCCTATTCTTCCTATCCTATTTCCAATTTGGTCTAAGATAAACACAATATCTTCATTTTTGGCTTCGGATGTCCTTCTCCTGTCTTTTATAATATCTTCAATTAGTTCTTTTTTTTTTTTACTAATCCAAAAGCATTTTAACATTTCTTCAAAAAATGCCTCATTCCTTTTCGTATCTGTTGGGCTGTTCCTTTTGCTATTCTTCTTTAACTTGTAATAATTGTTCACCATTTTATCAATCTTCTTTCTTAAAAATGCAAAATTTATTCAATGTTTAAAATAAAGATAAAAATAAATTTGTTGATAAATTTTGAATTCATAATTTACCTGATATTTTCCAAGGTTATGATAGGGAACCCTGCAAGATTCCATGGCCTTACCAATTTAGACATTACGCAACAGTCAGCTTGTGAAGGGCATCTGAGCTCAAATGAATTAATTTTGAAATGACACCTAATTAAAACCGTTTTATTTACTTTGGGATTCAAGTTTCTTAGATATAGGTAGTATTGCAAAACCTCTATGCCAGTAGGAAGTTTATAACATGAAAGATTTTCTCTAACTTTCTTTACTAGAAATACTTCAGCCTTATTTCGAGTAAGCTTCAACTTCTTTTTTAGTGGCATTTTACTATAAAATAATTTTTTTTTAAGTTAATTAGTTACTAAAAAGATAAATGGTAACTAAAAATATAAAATAAGTTAAAAATCAAATTGCATACACAAGGTAAAATATAATTGTTCACAAAATGAAACATTTATACGCGTATTTAAAGTATAACAGAAAACACATTAAAATGGTACATAGGACATAGGTAGTAAAAGGTAGTGAAATATAGTAAAATAAATCAATGTTTTTGAATTTTTTGATCTTCATTGTTCAAATAAAAAAAAAAATTAAGCTTAACATTATATTTTTATTTTCTTCAAAAAGATAAAATAACAAAAAAAAAGAAAGAAAAATTAATTTGGATAATGGTAACACTCCCCTCAATTAGTCCGAATATGGGCAAAAAACGGGCAAAAAATGACCTTTGGACCCATTGAGGGAAGTCATGGAGTGATCTAGTCATGAAAAAAAAAAAAAAATTATTAGTAATATTAAGGTTGGGGCACCTTATGAAAAGCAATGTTAGTTGAAATTCAAAAAAGTCATTTTTTTGTAACACCCTAATATATATATATATATATATATATATATATATATATATATATATATATATATATATATATATATATATATATATGTATATATATATATATATATATATATATATATATATATATATATATATATATATATATATATATATATATATATATATATATATATACTTCATAGCGAGAGTGTCAATATTATCTCAAATGTATTAAATTTTGTAAATATTTTTGACAAGTATATATATATATATATATATATATATATATATATATATATATATATATATATATATATATATATACATATATATATATATATATATATATATATATATATATATATATATATATAAGGTTAGATGAGAAAAAACAACTTTTTTACGGTACTTAAAGTTTCATGCCGTTTTCGGCACTCAACAGCCATATATTTAAATCAAGAAAAAGCCGTTCAAAAATACAATTAAAAAACCGTTAAAAAAAACAATCGAATGAATTCTGACGTCAAATAATTATAATACAAATATTAGCAATAATAATAATAATAATAATAATAATAATAATATAGCAATAATAATAGTAATAATAATAATAACAATAATAGCAATAATAATAACAACAATAATAATAATAATAATAATAACAATAATATGGAAAAAACATCTTTTCTAATCGCTTGTGTCAAATTGAGAAAAGAGGAATCTGTTTCTATGTCTGCATTTAACAACAATCTCACTCCTTTTATTTAGTAGATTAGTATTTTTGTAATTTAGGATTTCATATTTTTCGGTGAGACATAATTTACAAGATTTGGATGTAGGATTATATGCTTTACATCGCCTGAGAATTTTCCACTTAACTATAGGAACTAAATTAGCTTCTTTTATTTTCCATACCTGCTTTGACAGCTCAGTATCATTTTTGTATTTTGGGATGTTGAAAGATTTAACGTGGTTAGCGTATCTCAATTTAAAAGAAGTCTCACTTACACCGATGTAGGATTTTTCGTTAGGAGATGAATCCCTAGTGGTGGTTACAGTTGCTTGGTATACAATGTTGCTTGTTAAACATCTATTGGACAACGGGCAGAAATTTTAATCTAAGAAGTTACAGTTTTCTTGATTAGAGTTTGTATCGTTGTATAAAATGTGTTTGTTGTGCGAATTTATGATTGATTTCACACTTGGCATACAACTGTAGCTAACTTTGATTGTGTTCCTGTTAAAGATTTTATGTTGTTTGTTATTATTGGATGATTAGATGTTTTTAATCCGTAGATATAATAAAAATTGTTCTTACTATTTGAACTCTTGTTTAAAAAGGAAAACGCTTTCCATCGCATTCTTTTGATTAAAGTTTCAGTTTTATCCAATAATTGCATTTTGAAGTCTTTAATGGATGGTATCGGAATGTTCTTGACTGAATATCCAAAGTTTATTTTTTTCATCACATATGTGACTTGAGTAGGTTGAGTAGAAATGTTATCGATTGGTTTAAAGCCATAAAAGATAAAAACCTTTGTAAATTTTCAATTTTTGATATCCATGACTTCAACCCTTCTATTAGTGAAACAATTCTAAAAAACTCTATCAAATTTGCAGAGCAACACTTAACACTAAATAAAGAAAATATATCATTAATTTTTCATGCAAGAAAGTCTTTGCTTTTCAATAATAATCAGGTTTGGATAAAGCAATTAAGTGGTTTATTTGATGTTTCCATGGGAGCATTTGACGGCGCGGAGATTTGTGAGCTTGTAGGAATATTTCTTATTTTCGAAATTTCAAAATTTTATAACAAGTTTGAGGTTGGTTTATACTGTGACGATGGATTAGCAGTTTTTAGGAATAAAAGCGGCCCTCAAATGGAAAAAATAAAAAAGCATCTTTCCGAAAAATTTAAATACAATGGCTTACGGATTTCTATACAATGCAACATGAAAATTGTCGACTACCTCAACGTCACTCTAAATCTTAGTGAGTGCACCTTTAAACCTTATCTCAAACCTGATAATACATTAAATTATATTAATGCTGATTCAAATCACCCTCCAAGTATACTAAAACAAATACCACACTCGGTTGAACTTAGACTATCTACAAATTCTTCTACCAAAGAAATATTTCAACAGGCTGTTCCTCTATATAATGAGGCTTTATTAAAGTCTGGTTTTAAATGTAATCTAACATATAATTCTAAAGCAATATCAACTAAAAATCGGAACAGAGCACGCAACATCATTTGGTTTAATCCTCCATTTAGCAAAATTGTTAGCACCAACGTGGGAAAATGTTTTTTGAAATTAATTGGCAAACATTTTCCTAATAATAACAAACTACATAAAATCTTTAACAGAAACACAGTCAAAGTTAGCTACAGTTGTATGCCAAGTGTGAAATCGATCATAAATTCGCACAACAAATACATTTTATACAACGATACAAACTCTAATCAAGAAAACTG